CCTCTTCCCCGGGGGAGGGGGCCCCGAGGAGGGTGGCGGTAGGGCTGGGTCTTCCTCGCCTGGCTCTTGGGCTTGGCCTTGCCCGGGGCTCAGCGTCCCGCGGGTCCTTGCGGCTCTTTGGAGTGTTCTTGCGTATCTGTGTGGCTTTTGGCACAGGCGGGCTCCCTGAACTTTTACTGGTCAAAATGAACACCTTCCATTCCCCGCAGGGCTGTTTTCTTTATAGTGTCTCAGGAAGCCTGTGTAATGTTTGTATTACCAGTTTTTAAACCCGTAACTGTGTTGAAAGCTACCTTGTCATAACTGCTAAAGGTAGGTGATGTTTTACAGACACTTGCTCTGAGGTAGCGACAGGATCTGGCCAGGATAGTTTTAATTAGGTTTTTTTTTTTTTTTAATGCCTAACTCCTAACTGCTTTTTAAAGGATACCTGTTTGTTACTTAGTGGTAGTATACATGTGGCAATCACAAAACTAGTTATTTGTAATTAAATAACAGGATAACATCAGATTTTGGCAAGTGATGATAATTCTGATGCTTAGTACTTGTCTGGAGTGTTTTTTCTTGGAGAGACAAGCTGTTTTAGAAGGGTGAGTCTTTCATTAGCAGGCATCTAAAATTACTGGTCAGTTGACTCTGGTTCTTGCACTGTATAGAAACTCTGTTTTACCAAGTTTCGATACAGTTTTTAGTCAAAGTAGAGAATCTTACATATGCTTTCTTCAGTCTGTCTAGTATCTTCCTCCAATCTCGTCACATGTAGGGATGTGCATAGCAGGAAATGTAGCAAGAAACATAAAATGCTTGACAAAATGTGAGCCTGGATATAGAACTTCTATCTAGTCTGTTTTGTTGCCTAAGAAAATCTTTCTGATAAAAGTCACAATTATATGAATACTGTTTAAGGACCGTGTTGGCAATTGCTGGAGAAGACTTTTCTATCGTTGCCTCTGACACGCGACTGAGTGAAGGTTATGCAATTCACTGCCGGGACAGTCCAAAATGCTACAAACTGTAAGTCCAGATCTTGTGATACAGATGAAAGATCTTTTGTATTGATGAGCATGTCACCTGCCTGGAATGATCTATTGCTTTCTTTAAGCAGAATTCTCAGGAAAAAAGGATAGTAACAAAATCAACTTTTGGAGTTAGTGGTGACTCTTGCTGTAAAGGAAGATGTGATGTTTATTTAAAACAGGTTTCTTGTTGCATGCTCTTGAATTTAGTTGATAACAGAACGTTTTTTAGCATGATAGAAGGCTTAGTGTAAGCTAGGTGTTTTTTTGGCTGGATAGTCAGGAGAACTTCTGTCTTAACTGTAGCAAATCCTGATCCTGTGGTAACTTGTTTTGCTTCGTCAGGACACCTGGTGTTGGTGTGTGGTGTGCCCACCACTGCCAGTTGTACTGTATCTCTCAAGTAAACCATCTGGCACCTCAAAGAGGTGTTTGTTTTAGGAGAGGTAGACCTGTCAATAGTTCCATTATTGAATTTTTATGCTCTTTTTATGCTTATCTTGACTCACCTAGCTAGCATCCCCTTGGTTTAAAAATATATATTGTTTACATTCTTTTGACTGTAGCAGGTGTTTACCTAGTAGGCTGCCATCAGCTATGTAAACAATTTTTTTTTTAATCGATAACGCAAGATCATATGAACTTATGATTCTTCTGGCTAGCTCCTTACTATATCTTTGACTCTCTGATGCAGTCCAAATTCAAATTAGTGTGGTACGTTCTGCTATTGCACATGATGGCTTTGTGTAGTTCCTAGTGACAGGCTGAGAGAAGATTTCAGTTTAAATTGTTTTCTGAATAACTGTGTTAGTCTGTAAGTATGTGTGGATGTTTGTAGACTCTCACGAATTTACTAGAACTTAAATTTCAAAAGTGTGTTCCTGTAGTGAATACTAAGTTCATGAAGCGTTTTGAAACTGAGCAGAGCTCACCTTCTACAGTGCATCCGCAGCCAGGTAACTTCTGTTGTGCCAACACAGAAAACAACGTACAGCATGAATGTTACACAACCATCGTACAGTCCTCTGGCCAGATGGAGTGAAACCGGGCTGAGTGATGTGATGTAGCAGGCTCTCTATCTCAGAACAGATCCTCTAGCAAGGCTGAATGGTACTAGCTAGAGTTAGGGGCGCATGAAGAAATTAAGAGTTTATTTTTGTCAGTCTTGCTGTGGAAGTCAGTGGATTGAAGAAAGACTTCTGCATGGTCTTGCTCATAATGAATCCTCTCCGAGATGTAGGTTGCACAAAATATCTGTTACTACATTTTAAACAACTGTTTCTGATAGCATTAGAGAACCTAAAAATATGTTTGGTGTTTTCATAATAATCTACTGCGTAAGCAAGTGGTAGAGTTCACACTAAATCTAAAATCATAACAAAATTTTACGTTTTACAGAACAGAACAAACGGTCATTGGATGCACTGGTTTCCATGGTGACTGCCTTACCCTTACTAAAATTATCGAAGCAAGGTTAAAGGTAGCTTACTATCTTATTGTATTCAGAAACTTATATCCCTAGTATCACATTTGAGACCAATAATATGATCTGTTTTAAATATAATTTTTGATGGTTTTCTACAAGTGTTTGTATCATAACTGTATTGCTAGTGAAAGATGAGGCAGGGAAAATTGATTCTGTGTTCTTACTAAGTGTAACATCACAAATCTAAACAATGGAAGAGCTGGAGAGGATACTGTTAATGAGGCAACAGCTGTTCTTTGCAAAACTTTGGAGTAATGTTAATTTTTAGCTTGTAAGAAGGCTTTACTTTTTTAGAGCAGTGTGTTTTCAGTAATCATGCTATTTAATAATCTTGCTTAGCGTCAGATTCTTCTGTAGTGAGGTTGCAGAAAATGTAATTCTGATGAACTGTAAAAGTTAGTGTTTGACTTTCTTCGTGGACTTGTGGTACCACTTGCAGATGTACAAGCATTCCAACAACAAGACCATGACTACTGGGGCTATTGCAGCAATGCTGTCTACAATTCTGTATTCTCGACGTTTCTTTCCTTACTACGTTTACAACATAATTGGTGGACTTGATGAAGAAGGTAAGACTTAAAAAAAAGAGAAAGAAGAAAAGAGAAGCTGAATTTCTGTAAGTGAATAGCTCTCCTTTTACATCTTAGGTATACTAATGGAATAAAAAAGTTTGTGTTTCTGTTCCTTCCTTTCAGCATTACAGTACTTACACAGGTTGAATGCATAGGATGCATCTGACTTGTTTCCTAGTTTCCACTACTAACTTGATCTTCTATTTCTGAAGGTCTGAAAGTTCAACAAATATGTTACAATTATATGATTACAAATAGAATCTGCTAATGTTGCTTACCTCTCATACTTTAGACTAGAACGCTTTATAGCAGCTTTGCTGGAGCTCTTTATTGTGTCTTTAAAGGAGACGTTAGCAGTAAAGTTGTGTATCTCTTACTGAGGCCTGTCATTGTGGTACAGGTTATTAAATCTGACGGTTTACTCCAGAGACAGGTTTCTGCAGAGAGATTCTTAAATGTTAACTAATCTCTAATGAATAATCATGACTTCTACATGGAAACTGTAGTTTAACGTAAAGTCCTTCTAGGACTTACTGGGCTCTTGTCCAGTGGTTTGGTTGGGTTGCTAAAATACTGTGTTCTCTGGCTTTGAGCAGGAGTATTATTTGGTAAAGGTTTGCTGGATTCTTTGGTACTCCAGAGACTGCTTGCAGAGAGCATTTTTGATGTGTTTCTCTGTACTGAGAATCTTTCTGGATTGGGATTATATACTTCTTTTTTTCAGGGAAGGGAGCAGTATATAGCTTTGATCCAGTGGGCTCGTACCAGAGAGATTCTTTCAAAGCAGGTGGATCTGCAAGTGCCATGCTGCAGCCCTTGCTTGATAACCAGGTAAAATAGTTCTCTCTTTTTTTTTTTTTTTTTTTGTGATCTTGGTAAACATTTGTGATAGTCAAATTAATGTAGCTTTACTTTTGGGGAATATTACTTTTAAGAGAAGTTTTAAATATATTACAGGTAGGACTGTTAATCCATACATTTATAAATTGTGTGGCTCTGCCGTCTCAGGAGAAATCAAAGTTTTGCTTTAGAATCTGTTCAGGTTTTTAATATGCTACAGTGGATTGCTTGTTTAAAATACAGGTTAAAGTTTTAATTGGGGAATTATGTTTCCCATAGAAGTTGTTTGGGTGTGTCTTCTGTTTTGTTTTTTGTTTTTTTCCCCTACCGGAGAACATAAATATGCCTGTTACTTGGCATGAAATAATATTAAATTAAGAAGATAGAATTAGTAGGTGTTTTGTACAACTCAGACACCATTTTTTAAGAAAGTTTACAGCAGTTTTACTTAAGAACATACTCAATTAAATCGCTCTAAAACTACTTGAAGAATATTTTCATATTTAATTGAAGCTGTTAATTGTTAAATGAGATGTTCTTAAGTAAAACTGCTGGAAACTTACTCAATTAAATCGCTCTAAAACTACTTGAAGAATATTTTCATATTTAATTGAAGCTGTTAATTGTTAAATGAGAGAAATACCAAAGCATGCTTTACTCCTTTTATTCTCTGACATTGGCATTGGTATTCTTTAGTCAATTGAGCCTGATGTCAACACAGCTTCTGTGCTTAAAAAGGCAATAAGCAGTCTTGGTTCTTACCAGCTGAGAAAGGAATAGAACCTTTTTTTTTTTTTTAACAGCTCCAGGTTTTTAGCTTTGACTTAGTTTTGAACTTCATCAACTGAAGAAAATAAAATATCTTCTGCAGAAACAAAGTTGTCATAAGTAGCTTTTTGTCACTTACGAGTTTGAGGCAAAGTAAGTGAC